TGAAGCCTTCAGGGAGGCCCTGAAAGATAGCGTGGTGGCAGGTGGGCAAGGCTCTAGTCCCCACCTCTGCTTCTAGTTGACTGACACTGTACTTCTGTGTAAGTGTGGTGTGAAGAAAAAATTGTGGTGCTTAAAAAAATATTTGGAAGCCACTCATTACATAGGAGGAAGAAAGAAAAAATGATCAGCCTTTTTTGAGACTTCCCTTTATTTGATCTCTACTGCCTTCTACAGCCCTGAGTCTTGACTTGGTCTTTGCTCCCGGTGCAACCTCAGCCAGGAATTCAAGTCAGCAGAGCCAACAGATGCCAGACGTGGAGTAAGGAAGAGAGATTTGAGTAGGACTGCACTTCCCCCCCTCAGGAAAGCATGGGCCAGAAGGCGAGAAATATGTGAACATGCCATGGTATGGCAAAGCTCTTATCACAGGACAAAATGGGGAGCCCTCCTGTCTTTTAGACTCATTCTACCACCTCAGTCCTACCCCTTCCTTCTGGCTTCTCCGGAGCCTCCCAGCCCCTGCAGTGTCCAGTCACTGACTAAACTGACCTCTGCAGTCTCTGAACTTCTATGGTCTCTAGTCATACATGACACAGCCTAAAACAGTGTCTGGCAGACACTGTGCTCACTAAACATGCGTAATGGTTCTTAGGTACATGCTTTTTATTTCTTATTTAAATTACAAACAACTAGAGGACAAAGACTACTTTGCTATATTGCTGCCTCTACCTTTAGTATCCACTGAAGGCATTCAACAAATACCTGACTGGAAAAAATAGAGTGGCACTGGGGGAAAAAAGAAGGCAGAGAAAGAACAAATAGGAGAAGAGTTAAAGAATATGTTAAAAAGTAGGGAACAAAAAGTTACTATAAAATGTGAATGGAGAAAGTATGTGTAACATGATACAGGATGTTTCTAACAGTACTTGCATTTGTGGCCATTTATGAATGCAAATATGACCAGAGGTAAATCAATCTTGGTTTAGGAATTCTCTGACATCAGGAATTAATAAATGTAGGGAAAAGAATACCTATCCATTAATTCAGAAAAGGTAGAATTTCACAACATCTTTTCCAGTTTCATACTTCTGGGGTAGAACTGCCAAGCTTTAGAACTGGAAGAGACATGAAGATGATGGAATCCACTCCCCTCATCAGATGGAGGATGTGCTGAAGGCTGACAAAGTGGCGTGCCCATTCCCATGCCTTGTCCATACACGCTAGGCTGGACCCAAGGTAGGTGCCACATGGAGAACAATCTCCACTTATTTACACTGTAAGGAAACCTGATTTTGGGGTTTCTAGGTACTTCATGCATGTCTATATAAATGTCAGTTAATTATTTGGCTTTACAACAGACATTCTTTGGAGTTGGATTTAACCAGTTCATAGATAAATAGATAAATAGTTCTGAAAGCAGCTAATTGAGAGCATTTTAGGATGAACACAACTAATCTACCACTATTAAATTACAGCTGTATTTTATCAACAGAAACTATTAAAAACTTTGATTAATACAAAGCTTAAATTTTAAACAGTTGATTAAAAATAAAGAATTCTGTTTTCTAAATGTTAAAGTTTGAACATATTTAGAAGTTTTTTGGTTTTTTTTGAGACAGAGTCTTGCTCTGTTGCCCAGGCTAGAGTGCCGTGGCATCAGCCTAGCTCACAGCAACCTCAGACTCCTGGGCTCAAGTGATCCTCCTGCCTCAGCCTCCCGAGTAGCTGGGACTACAGGCATGTGCCACTATGCCCGGCTAATTTTTTCTATATAATTTTAGTTGGCCAATTAATTTCCTTTTATTTTTTTTAGTAGAGACGGGGTCTTGCTCTTGCTCAGGCTGGTTTCAAACTCCTGACCTTGAGTGATCCACCTGCCTCGGCCTTCCAGAGTGCTAGGATTACAGTCATGAGCCACTGCGCCTGGCCCATTTTTAGAAGTTTTAAAATTCTTTTTGGCTGAGCGCGGTGGCTCACACCTGTGGACTCTGGGAGTCCAAGGCAGGAGGATCGCTCAAGGTCAGGAGTTCAAAACCAGCCTGAGCAAGAGCGAGACCCTGTCTCTACTAAAAATAGAAGTTAATTGGCTAACTAAAAATATATAGAAAAAAATTAGCCAGGTATGGTGGCACATGCCTGTAGTCCCAGCCACTGGGAGGATCGCTTGAGCCCAGGAGTTTGAGGTTGCTGTGAGCTAAGTTGACGTCACAGCACTCTAGCCCGGGCAACAGAGCAAGACTCTGTCTCAAAAAAAAAAAAATTCTTTTTATAAAAGGAACATAAAGCATTCCCACATTTAATACCTTTGACTAGTCTTTCCTTAGTACTTAAAAACATCAATTTTAAATTGAAGAGTAAGGAATATGCTTATTTCAAGGCCCTCATTTAAGACCATTCACTTTGTTGCATAATCTTTGAGATTTCTATTACCCCTGACTAAAGAACTGTGATTCATCCATGCTTAAACCAGCAACTAGTGACAAAGGTCAGTGGTAGCTGGAACCCAGCTCTAACATTTCTCTTGTCAGCACCTTATTGCTCATGTCATATTCTAATTGATGATGGGCAACAGGGTGAACATGGCCTCCTTCTGGTTAAGAACAACATGCCTATCAAATCATCTCAACATTTGGACTTGGGGGCATTAACACTGTATCTTCAAAAAAAGGACCATAAAGAAGGTTGTAGAGGCTACAAATTTATCTGATCATGGCGTGGTGCAAAGTCTTACCTCAGGAGATAATGCAGGACCAGGAAGGAAGGTATGTAGGCCCATGGGGTATAGGAAGGTGAGCTCCTGGGAGCTGCACATCAGTGCTGCCCAACAGAACTCTCTGTGAGGGGACCTTCAGCTGTATTGTCACTATGGTGGCCCCTGAGCACTGTAAGAAACTGAGTTCTTCCTTTGTTTAATTTTAATACAGTTTAAATTTAAATAGCCATTTGTGGTTAGTAGCTACTATACTAAACAGAGCAGAGCTCTGTCTAGATCAGTGGTCCTCAACCTTTTTGGTACCAGGGACCAGTTTTCATGGGAGACAATTTTTCCATGGACTGGGGCAAGGGGATGGTTTTGGGATGATTCAAGTGCATTACATTTACTGTGCAGTCAAACCTCTCTGCTAATGATAATCTGTATTTGCAGCCGCTCCCCAGAGCTAGCATCACCACCTCAGCTCCACCTCAGATCAAGCATGCAACTTAGATTGCCCTCGCATGTGCAGTTTACAGTAGGGTTCGTACTCCTGGAGAATCTAATGCTGCCACTGATCCGACTGGAGAAGGAGCTCAGGCGGTGATGCGAGTGATGGGGAGCGACTGTGAATACAGATGAAGTTTCGCTGGCTCACCTGCCTACTGCTTACTTCCTGCTGTATGACCAGGTTCCTAACAGGCCATGGACCAGTACCAGTCCATAGCTTGGGGGTTGGGGACTGCAGGTCTAGATGACATTTGAGCTAAATCCTTTTTAAATTGAAATCATTGTTCTTACAGGTTAGTACGAATTTATTTAAATACTTGAGAGTCTACTGGGTGTTAGAAACTGGGGATATAAGGTGAATTCAGCGAGGTTCCTCCTCTCAGGGAATTTGTACTCTGGTGGGAGAGAAAGAAATAAGTGGATAATTACATAATAAAGTGTTAAGTGCTCCAGTGTACCATAGGGTGAGTGGATGATTATAGAATCATAAAGGGGCCCTAAAGGAGTAGCAGTGTCAGGGAAGACTTCCTGAGAGAAAGTGAGGCAGTACTGACTCTTACAAGGATATGGGGGCAGACTGCAGACATGGCTAAGCACAGAGCTGAGCAGCTATGAACCGTGCAGAAAGAACGAATATACTGCAGCATGTGGGTGCAGTATAAACCACAGGGCAGGGAGGGTGTGAAATCAGACCAGTGGTGACAGCAGGTGTGTGATCAGGGGACATGAACTTGATCCTGTATGTGACAGTGAGGCCTCCAAAGGTTTTAAGCAGGAGTGACAAAGATTCTGGTGGTGTGTGCAAGATGGAATTTGGGAAGCCAAGAAGAAAAAAAAATCAGATAGACTGATGAGACAGTGAGAGAGCAAGACTGACTGAAGTCAGTTAGGAATAGGGACATTTCTTTATTATTTGTAAGGTTTGAAAAACCTTTAGCAGCAAAGTTATTTCTGGTATTGCTTGGACTGGAGGTGGAGACTTAGGTGGGGAAAGTTAATAATTCCTTAGATTCTACCTTGGATGAATATGGGGAGGATGGAGCCAGCAACTAAGACAATGAGAGGACGAGATGCTAGTTTTGTGTGTATTGTGTTTGTGTAATTGGTTTGGCAAGGAGGTGAGGGAGAAGGGAGGGAAGAGGTAATTTCATTTTACATGAGTTGATTTTGAAGAATAGGCAGTGGAGAGCCAATAATACATACAATATTGATACCACTTGATAGAGGTTTGAGAGAGAGGAGGGAAGCATCAGCACAGAGGTGGATGCTGAAATAGGCAAGGATGTGAGATTCCTCACCCCCTCTTCCTCCACAAAGGGCACTAGGTAAAGGACAAAATCTGGGAACATCATTAGAGTTTTCTTATTGGAAACTTGTATATTGGCATTACTATTACAGAAAGAACAATCCCAAGTGTGGGTGTGTGTATATTTTAGAGGGAGAACAGTTTATGGAAATATGTTTTTCTTGACTTTATTTTTCCTTCTCCAAACAGAGGGGAAGATATTAAGGTAATATAAGCTTGAAAATTGTTGATTTATTTTAACTGAACTTATACTTTAAGACTATATCAAAAATTCAATATTTATTTTATAAACTACAGCACTATATTGGTCTTTACCGATAACAGTAAGTAATCTACCATTTCCTGTTAACCAAATTAATTTTAATGCTAGCTTTATTGATTGATTGATAGGAAGAAATTAAGCAACAATGGAAGAAACATAATTAGAAAACTGGGTCAGAAAACATTAAGCATCCTGGACCTGGAGTCAAGATGTGTGAACAGGGGCCTCACCTCTGACTCTGAGCTGTCCAGTTCAGCCAAGGTTGGGGCTTTGAGGAGCTTCTTCCGCTGCACAGGCACCTGTTGTGCTGCACTTAACCCATTTTCTTTTGTTTGTGATGTTAAACCTCCATTCACTACAGATGATTCCACAACATTCTTTGGAGATTCAGGGGTAGTTACATCTGGAAAAAGAAAGGCAAAAGTTTACCTTTTCTTAAGCTAACAAAGGTAACTGGTGTTGGAAACACACACCAGGTGGCCAGGCATTTCCATGTCACACAAATACAACACAGAGGCTTGATACAGTAACACCTTGCCTGTGTATAGGAAACATTTTTTTGTTAGATATTGTCAGATTCAATAAAGGGAACTGTAAAATGAATAACTATATATTCACATTTGTAGATTAGAATTCACAGTTGGAAGAAATCCTACAGATAACTAACTCAGACTTCTTTATTTTCCACATGAAGAAACAGAGGCTCACAGAAGCAAGTTTTGCTTTACAGCCTCTAAGGACCTACGCGTTATCAGGTGTATGGCTGTAAGATTTGGAAATGTTTTGGTTTAAAAACCAAAATAGCTAATAATCTAAATTCATATAAACATATTTAATGTGAATAGAAAGAGGCTGAGATGCATTTTCTCGGATAAATCTGATTTAAATTGTTAAGACCTCAAATTTGGAGGGGAGGCAATACAACAAATGAAAGAGAACGAGGCAGGCTACAGCGTAGGATGATGCAGACTGGTTGGGTCTCTGCTGCTACTTGTCTAACTCTGAGCAAGCTGCCTACTCTGTTTCTTCACCTGTAATAACAGACGTGGGCTTGTTGTGAGAATTAAATGGAATAGTAACTGCATATACAATACTGTGCCCACTAGAGGCAGCACACAGTAAGTGTTAGCAATTAGTAACACTGCTTTTGATCTCCATTTTTGAGTAAGTAAACTAAGGCTCTGACTGATTTGGCCAGAGTTGCAAGGTTGGTGTCGTGCCAGAGCTGATGTGGGAATCCTTGTTAGGACTGATTCTTAAAGGCCTGCTTTTTGGTACAACAGCTTGGAATCTTCCCAGGAAAAGTGGCACTCATTTTCTTTAGTACTTCAGATGAAGAGTTAAACATGGACTAAATTTAATAACTATAAAATTAGAGTACTGAAAAGTAAAAAAAAAAGCAGTCACTGCAAAATTTACTTTATAGACTTGTACAATGAACTGCTCTTTGCAAATGGACAGTCTGTGAAGCTCTTGTAGTTGGGGTAAAGGGCACTCCAAGTACTAAACTGAAAAAGACAGGATTAATGCTCCTTTAGGAAGAGAAAGTATTGCAACAGAAGTTATTATAAAATACAGGAATGTTCTATTTATAGTAGGTTTCCCCTCACCCAACAAATGATATTTACATGCCTGAAGTCCAAGAGGTAGAGTTCCAGGAAACATTGAGTATAAGTGTGTTCTAGTACAGTTTTCCTTGGCATTATTTAAAAGAAGCATGCAAATTATTTCTTATTACAAATGATATATATCTTATTTAACATTTATAATTTCTGCTTATTTTAAGAGATTGAGAAGGCCAGAGAACACACCCCTGTGAACTGGAAGAAATCGGTTGAAAAAGAAAGAATGAAAGGAAAAGAAAGAAAAGAGAAGACAGGAAGAGGGAAGGACAGAAGGAAGACAGCTGTCTATTAATCATTTATCATTTTAGGCAAAATTTTTAACAGAGAACTTGACAACACACTCATTTATTTTATTATTACCTTCCTAGGTATTAAGTAGCTAGAATAAATAAATGATTGGTGATGGTGAAGAGTGCTGAAAGGGATAAATGGGAAAAAGCAGTAAGGTTTTATACAAATTATAAAGGTTAAAAATCTTTAAATAAGTCTTTGAAAAGGAGATGTAAGGAAAAGTATCTTAGAAAAGTATTTTTAAAGTTTTCCAGAAGACAAAAGAGGAAGTTACTGGGCTAACTGATTAATTCCTATGCAAGAAAAAAGGTAGTTAAGTGTTTATTTTTTTATTATTTATTTATTTTTTTATTTTAGCATATTATGGGGGTATAAGTGTTAAGGTTACTTATATTGCCCATGCCCCCCTCCCCCCTAGAGTAAGAGCTTCAAGCATGTCCATCCCCCAAACGTTACACATCTTACTCGTTGTGGTTGTATATACCTCTCCCCTCCTCCCGCCTCCCACCCTCCTGACACCCGATAAATGTTACTCCTATATGTCCACTTAGGTGTTGATCCCTTAATACCAATTTGCTGGTGAGTACATGTGGTGCTGGTTTTTCCATTCTTGAGATACTTCACTTAGTAGAATGGGTTCCAGCTGTATCCAGGAATATACAAGAGGTGCCATATCACCATTGTTTCTTAAAGCTGAGTAGTATTCCATGGTATACATATATCACATTTTATTAATCCACTCATGAGAGTTAAGTGTTTAAATATGGTCTTAAAGAGTATATTCTTAAAAATCTTCTATAGTATGTTTTATACTTTTCCTATAGAATTATTCATATTGTTGCAGTAATCGTCCAAGAGAAAGCACAGATAGTTCAAATGCACATATCTTTCACCTTTTTTTTAGCTACCCACGGTCCAACAGAGGTTCCCACTGTTGACCTGGTAGCAGCTCACTCCCCAAATTGGAGATATAGTAATGAGAAGAACACAACTAGCTTCCCATGCTACCAAGCCAGAGTTTCCCTAAGAGAGTCACTGTATTCATAACACTGGCATAAAAAATATAATTGCTATATCAGATTCATGATTTTATGGATGCTATTGTTTAAGAAATTTTTAAGTCATTTATGGTAGATTAAAAATGTTAAATAGTATTGGTGGCACTTAAGGCTGTCAAAAATCATAAAGATGGCATATGAACTGAAGGTTAGGGAACACTGTCAAATGATGGTGGCTGCCTTGAGGTTATTTCATTCTCAATGCAAGGGATTTGAGAAATTGTCTCATAGTTCTCTAATTGCCTGAACCCTGTGCTACGAGATCGATAACTGTCATTTTAGCTCATTTACTGAAACTACTGAAATAAACTGCATTAAATTTAAAACTTTGAGAAAAACAGAATTAATGAAAAATAGGTTACATAACATTAAGGTTTCAGGATGATCTCCATATATAGGACTAAATATTGTTTATGATTTTATCTCTTATTACATATTTGTAAAAGACTTGTTGAATATATACGTGTGTGTGTATATATATATATTATATATATATTTCTTTTTTTTGAGACAGAGTCTTGCTTTGTTGTCCAGGCTAGAGTGATTGCCGTGGCGTCAGCTTAGCTCACAGCAACCTCAAACTCTTGGGCTCAAGCAATCAATCCTCCTGCCTCAGCCTCCCGAGTAGCTGGGACTACAGGCATGTGCCACCATGCCCGGCTAATTTTTTTTATATATATATATATTAGTTGGCCAATTAATTTCTTTCTATTTATAGTAGAGACGGGGTCTCGCTCTTGCTCAGGCTGGTTTCGAACTCCTGACCTCAAGCAATCCGCCTGCCTCAGCCTCCCAGAATGCTAGGATTACAGGCGTGAGCTACCTCGCCAGGCCATATATTTTTGAGACAAGGTCTGGCTCTGTTGTCCAGGTCGGACTGCAGTGGTGCAATCATAGATCACCGTAACCTCAAACTCCTGGGTTTAAGTGATCCTCCTGCCTCAGCCTCTGGAGTGGCTGGGGCTACTGGTGGATGCCACAACACCTGGCTAATATTTTAAAATTTTTTTGTAGAGACAGGGTCTCCCTGTGTTGCCCAGGCTTGTCTCAAACTCCTGGCCACAATCGATCCGTCTGCCTTAGCCTCCCAAAGTGTTGCGATTACAGGTGTGAGATACCATACCTGGCCTCAGTTGAACATATTTTTAGGCAGTTTGATTACTTGTATTTTTATGTTAAATGGATAAATCATCCTTATTACTTCAATGAATCAAATAAGAAAAGCCAAACACCTGGATAGGCTTTGGATTTCTTCTTTATAAGATACCATTTGTTGAGAAAAAACTGGTGATGTTTATTTGTAAGCAAAATATTTACAATGTGAAATATTTAGATATGGCTTTAGAAAGCACAAAATTTAGATTCAGAACCTAAAATGCATATTTATGATATTAAATACTTTATGTAATAACTCTATGTGTTTCTGCTGCCTTATTTAGTGAGAGGAAATGTGACTAGAATACATATTATATAGTTAATATTTGCAAAGAAAAAATAAATTATACTTACCACAAGTGATACTGAATGGGTTAAGATTTTCACTAAGAATTAATATTTCTAAGATATACTTAAGCAGCAAGACATACTTCATTATATCTTATTCTACACTTAAGTTCAGAGTTATTATCTAGACTACATGTTTAAAATGTTTACTCATCAGTTTTTTCATTTTCTAACTCAGAAAATACACTCCCATTTTTGCACTTAAGTTACAAGAATAAATCAATATTTTCCATTTATAATTTGGGACATTTTAATTAATAGTCAAAATGCAACAATGGAAAACAAAAGTAGCACAAGAAATCAAGAATGACGCACTTGGAAATTATGAAGTACACTAAGGCACAAAATAAACTAGCAAATAACATGCAGTGAAACCAAATAAAAATTCTTTGCTACTCTTTTACATCCAAGAGCTTTCTTCCCAACATAGGAGCTGTCATATATCCTTTAAGAACACGGAACACACTTATCTATAAGCTGTGTGAGCATGCATACTGTCTAGATCAGCCACGTGTGCCTAATTTATATGAGCCAACAGTCAGTGTGTTTAAGTAGCCAACCACTCTCTTATAGTCCAACTGATGGAAACACTTTTAGTAGATATTCAGAAGAGAGAGAGTATCTGTAATGTACATTGCCAACTTTGGGAGATTAGTAGTAACACATATGTTCCAAAATGTTTCTGAGTTTATTTTCCAGACCAAATTTTTTACAAGGTCACTCTGCAAATAGTTGATAAAATAAAAATTGCCAAATGGATAAAGAAAATAGAAAAAGATCTTCAGTGATCAGTTAAAAATAATAAGTGAAGATTGTAAAATAGTAGAGTCATGCCTGAGACCTACAAAAATAAAAAATTTAAAAACAATTGGGAACTAGTTTTGTAGTTGGAAGATAATCAGTAAATACTCATATACAAAATATAT